CTGGATGCCCCAGTCCTCGAGGAGCGCGCGGCCCTTGCGGACGACGCAGGAGCAGCGCAGCAGGCACTGCATGTCCTCGGTGCACGTGCCCCCGACGTCGATCTTGTTCACGAGGAGCGTCTCCCGCAGGCCGCGCCGCGGGTACCAGTTGATGACGCGGTTCGGCTCGTTCTCCTCCGGCGGGAACATGACCGTGAGCGTGACCTTGGGGATCTTCAGGAGGCGCTTGAGCGTGAGCCTCGCCGGCGCGGGCGCGGGCGCCATCGCGCCGAGCGCGTCGACCGTGCGGTCGTAGCCCAGGCCCTCGACGGTGACGTCGCCCGCCCGGATGATCGCGTCGCCGGGCAGGATCTCCAGCCCCGACAGCGCCGCGTTGCCGCCGTCGACGAGGCCGGCGACGAGCGTCAAGCCCTCGCCCGCGTCGTTCGCGCCGAACTCCTCCAACAGGATGCCGATGCCCGGCGACTCGGCGCTCCGCGGGATCTCGACCTCGATCTCTTTCGTGCCCCACTCGTTCGAGTTCGCCGCGAGCGAGATGGCGTTCCCCTCCTCCTCGCTGAGTCGCAGCACCTTCCAGCCTTTCGACATGCCGTCGGCGGTCCGCGCGCGCAGGCGGGTCGCGACGGGTCGCACGGGGCTCGGCGTGATGAGCGCCTGGGCGCAGGCGGCCAGGAGCAGTGGTCGCATCATCGTGCGACGCGGCGCTCCTGGCGTGGAAGCCGCACGAGCGCCTACTAGTAGAGGCACTCGAGGTGTGGATCGGCCGCGTCATCTGTGCTCGCTCAACAAACGTGTTACATGAATGATAACGCCGAAGCTTATGGGGCGGCTTTCGGAGGGTGCGCGGGGGTGGTTTCGCGCAGCGGCCGGTGGTGGGGCTCGCCGCGTCGGCTCCGGGGGGCGCTCGGGGAGGAGCACCCCGCTGCGCGCGTCGATTGGGCGGCGGGGCGCCGAGCGCGAGAGCTTGCAGTGCTTGGCCGTCGGCGCGACGTCGCCCACGGGCCCGGGGGGCTGCCGCGCGCGCTCGCTTCGTTCGGATGCCTTCGGCGTGAGTCTTGGGGGGAGCTGGTGGGGTCGGCGCCCTCGATGGCTTCGGTGTGCGGGCTTCGATGTGCCCGTGTCCATTCGTTTCTCTGCATTCTGCAGCGTCTCTTCGTAGCGTGGCGCTGTGTGCGGCTCCGTCGACGTCGGCGTCTTCGCTCTCTTCGTCGGCGTCTTTGCTCTCTTCGGTCCCGCTGACTACGGGTGTCCTCTTCGGCGGTGCCCTCGGC